GTATTTTAAGCAATTTTAACTGATGTTATCTTCCACATGATCACAAAATGCCTCGCATGGCTTCGGCTGCTGTCTCTGCTTTCTTTTCATCGACTTCTTTTGATCTACCTTCGTTCTTGACGTCTTCCTTGCTCTTACTCGTAGTTGCCTGAAACGCGTGCCCCTTTTTATTTCGATGACTGCCTGGTGTATAAATCGTTGAGATACTTGAGGGACAAGGATGCTGACCTCCTAGACTTCATGAACATGCAGCAAACACAGCTTTTGTGTTTTTCTCGTGTTTGACACAACGAAATATAAACTTTTTCTTGTGCACACGTGACTCTGTTGTTGCAACGGGGAGTCAATGTATTAAACGAGAGAAAGGGTCGGTTTTCGGGTGAGTGACGTTCGGGTTCTCGATGATTCCATTTAGTAAGGTCATATTTGTTAAAGAGGTGCAAGTGATCAGCGAAATGTGGACTGGTGTGTAGTCAATTTTTTTTTATATTTAGTAGGTTTTTCATCATACCTAGTAAGTCGGGGTTAAAACCTTAGTGACGTTCTTCGCCAGATCTCAGTTGCTTTTGAATCAGTTTTTCATGTTATTTGTTAGTTCAACTTCAAAGACCAGTGTTGTCAGTCTTAGATACTAAGTTCTATCACTGATGGAATTTCTTTCTCTATCAGAAGCATCATCTATGAAACCTTTCGACCTGAAATATTGTCGAAGCAAGCTGGAGGATCACTACCAAAAAACAGCAACTGTGCCTACCTCAGTTTGGTGTAAGAAATCCGTTGTCGATATTCACCAGATCTACACTCGTCTTTCCTGGGTGAAAGAGAAACAAACCCCTGCTGGAACAACACAGTCTGAGCTGAACAATTACAGTGACCTGCTCACTGCAGACGAGAACGGCGCCATTCCAAAGAGAATACTCGTGCAAGGGCAGACGGGAATTGGAAAAAGTACGTTTGTGAAAAAGCTGCTTGTAGACTGGGTTGAAGTAAATAAGGAAACTGGTGATGAGCAAACTCCTGTCCTGAAGAATTTTGAGCTTGTGGTTGCTGTTAACCTCAAGGAAGTGTCCAAATGTCAAAGCCTTGAGGACGTCATAAGAATGTCCAATGTGTTTGCAAAGGAGGACAAATATATGACAGATGGCCTGATTGATTACATCACTAATAACCAGGAGAAAGTACTTCTGATCTTTGACGGCTACGACGAATACCGCAGTGGATGCAGCTCAGAAATATACGAGATTTTTCGTGGAAGCGGCCTGAGAAGCTGCTGTGTATTGATAACAACTCGTATTTCAAAAGCTGACGAGCTACGAGGATTGGAAGATCTACACGCTGAAATAACGGGATTCAGTAAAAAGGATAGAAGAGACTTTATGCGTAGGTTTCTTGCTGACGATGAAGCGTTTGCCTTATATCGTCATTTGCTTGATAGGAACCTGCAAGAATTGACGAAAGTCCCTCTACTTCTCCTTTTTTTCTGTACCCTGTGGAAAAGGGGACAGTCAAAGGTCTTTCCAAAATCTAAAACTGAATTGTATACGTACATCATCCAGTTCATTATAAATCACAGCCATATCAAGCGATCTCCACCTCATTACGTTAACTTACAATCTTCCAAAGAGATCCTCTCAGAAATAGGAAAAGTTGCTTTACAAGGTCTTCTGAACGATGATCATTTGTTTGAATACAGTCAGTTGTCCGAATCTGTCCTTTGTGACGAAAGCGTCTTCATCGGTTTGCTTCAAATCACCGAATACTCAGAGACTTTGCAACCAGTTGGAATGGTCTCCTTCATTCACAAGAGCATACAGGAGTTCCTTGCCGCGTGGTACATCACAAAAAAATGTATACCTGAGGGCGGAAGGGTTAATGAATTCGGAGTGAAGTTAGAGCAATGCTTGGCTTTAGCGAATGTATTTCAGTTTATGTGCGGCCTGAGTGAAGATGGAGCATCGATGGCTTTCACGCATTTAAAGTCTGTCAGAATTTCAGATCCTTCGCTGGATTTATCCAAGGCAATCCCGGACGTAGAGAAAGAAACCGACGTGCCTCTGAGTGACGTCACTGACCGTCAGCGGAATTTCAACGATCTAGTTTTGAAATCGTTTGAAGAAGTTAAATCAAAAGCTGGACTTTCAGAAACTTGTTTGGATTGTCTTGGGAGTATTTTTCTCTCTCATTCATATTATACGACATCATTTCCCGAAGACCTTCTTATAACGCTAAGAGATGCAAGCACCTGGTCTTTTATTTTTGAAGGAACAGAACCATTGGAAACTTTGAGGGACCAAGTACGCATGCAACTCGTTTGGGTGAGTTATATCGCTCAGCGAGTTACTGAAAGTTCTGAAATTCAAAATTTAGAAAAATTTCTGAGAGATTTTATAGATTTTAATTATTTTTGTTCTTGTGGGTTTTCTGCAGTCTGTAGTATTCGTAATGGCCAGGTCTACTTTTACATCAAACACTTGGAAATGACATGTGATCTCCATGCCAGGCTAATCACTGACAATGTTGCTTCTCATGCATCTCATTCAAGTTTAAGACAGCCATGTCTGAAATACCTGAAAACTCTAAATTTTTTGGAAGCTGATGATTCAATGAAATTCCCTTTCATCGATCCATGTAAAGACCCTCTTCTTCCACTCCCCCATGACCATTTAAAACGCATTAAGCGTTCATTCAGTGAGAACGCTTTGTATCCTTTCTTGGAGCAAGTACCAAATCCTTGCAGGTGCACTTTGTCTATCAAGCATTTTGACGTAACGTCAAAAGAAGCAGTAAAGCTTGCATCTTTGTTACCAATGTTCGAAAACATCACTAATCTTCGCCTTAACCTTGCTGTTTGCTCTGCTAAGTCAGTAACAAAATTGGTGGCCGCTATCAAGCACAAGTCTCTCGTGGATCTAATACTGAGTGAAATCCACCTGACTTCAGCAGTAGTCGATGCGCTCGGTCAGTCACTGCCTGAATTATCAACACTCCGAACACTGAGAATAAGTGGCTTAAATGTTTGTGCCAATGAAGCAGCAACGAGATTGTGTGCCGCTCTCAAGAACAAGTCTCTTGAGGTACTGGAATTGAGAGACGTCAACCTGACGTCAGCAGCAGCCGAGGTACTTATTAGTCAGTCGCTTTCTAAATTACCAGCCTTACGAACACTAAAGATAAGTGGCTTGGCTAAAAGTTCTGATGAAAAAGTAACATTCATTCTGATGTCAGCATTAGCCAAGGCGCTTGGTCATTCACGTGAATTGCCAGCCTTACAAACCCTGCAGATAGGAAGCTTGGATGAAACCAGGTTGCTCGTACGGTTTGTACCATGTGTTTTGCAGTTTCAAATTCTGGAGATAGGTGGCTTGAGAGAATGTTCTGCTAAAGCAGTAACAAGATTGTTTACAGCTCTCAAGGACAAGACTCTCAAGAAACTGCATCTGAGTAAAATCATGATAACGTCAGTAGTAGCGGAGGCGCTTGGACAGTCGCTGCCTGAATTTTCAGCTGTAGATTCACTGAAGATAAGTGGCTCGGATGGATGCAGTTTGGAAGATAAGGAAGTGGAGGCGCTGTTTGGCAGATTTAACAGACCCTCTCCTTTGGTATCTCTAGTAATTGATCATTTCAGCCTGAGAGGAAGTCTTTCTGTACTCGCCAAAAACCTGCACTTCTTCCCCCGCTTGAAACGTTTAGACCTTTCGATAACCGTGGATGAATCTGACCTTTTTGGTCTTCTCGAAAAAATGAAATTTCTTCCTGAACTAGAACATCTGACCCTGAAGGGTATTGCACTGCTCCAGTCAATGAGGTCAATGGTCCCACAATTGCTAAAGCTCAAAAAACTTGAAATTCTTTGTTTAAAGACAGAAGATTTATCAAAAGAAGAGCTGTGTTATGTCCAAGAGGCCTTCCAAGGAAAACTCCGTCAGCTGACAATTGAAGTAGCAAATTATGGTAAGGCGAGTCAACACCTGTGGATATCACGTTAACCCTTTAAGCCGCAATATCCATAGACAACTTATCTAGGATGATCTCCATACCTTTTGTCAAACAATTAGTTCAGAGAATTTGTTAACAGATCAAAGGATTTTCCCTTCGGTGATCATTTTATTAAATCTCATACCCAATCACTTGATTATGTATTGATATTGTTAGGGGAAAAATAATGTTAGTCAATATCACTTATTGCGACTTGAAGGGTTAACTCTTTCGAAGCTGTATACATGGAAAGTGCGGGCGTACGGTATTTACGCACGAGTTGTTGGCGTATCAGAAGTCGAACAAGTGAGGGGGCTGAGTGAGACTTTCTGATACAAAACAACGAGTGCGTAAATACTGTACAAAATCCTCCTGTGTGATATTGTGCTTTAACTTTATATTTCTGTCTGAGCCCAAATTATGTTCTTTTTCCGTGCGAAGCTAGGCGCAAAGAGCCTCGCGGAAGCGACATTTAATATCGCTTTGTCGGCCGCATGTTCGTCAAATGCGAGGAAATGAGTTGAAATTCCATTCTTGATAAATACAGCTCTACCAGCTTCGAACAGCGTCTACGGGCAGAATTTCATGGGCAAAAACGTTAAAGATATTAATTTTAAGGGAACGTTTAACAATTGTTGTCGTGACCCAATTAGCAACACAATGACCTCTATTTTTTATGGTCCGGGGTCTACCCTCGCCGGAGGAAAAAATTTTTTTTGGTCGTTTTGTTTTGTTTTGTTTTTCTGTGGCCTATTTCTGGCACTGTCTCAGGAAATAAGCGGATATTTTTCCTTGCAGATAATTCTCAAAAACTAGGTAACATCCATGGGGCGATATATTTTGCATATTTGTTCATTTCTTCCGTTCGGTTAGTTAGAAATTCAGTTATTTCGTCTTCGTATAGCCGTGAACACCATTTTCTTAGTTTGATAATTGCAAATGAAAGCTTTTGCTTTGCTTTTTAACAGGAGATTTTCCAGAACATTCTGTAGGAGATGTAATTGGAGAAAGCCTCCCTACGATGTCAAGGGTCATATTTTATTGTGAAATGATTCAACTTTTAACCATCCGCGTGGATTATTTCGCGTACGCTGAGGTACGCTGAGGTACATCATGTATTTCAGATAACCAGTCGCCATCTTTGCTCAGAGGCAGTAGTTAGACTGAAGACCTTTGTTTTACTGTAATGTCGATTGGAACTAGCTAGCAGACAAAGATTTATACCTTCGCCGAGGCGTCTCTAGTAATAAAGAAAAAAGAAATTAAAAAAGAACAGTTAATAACGACAACAACAAACAACAGCAACAAATGGGGGAGAGATCAAATGGAACCAGTTAATATAGACTGACACCAAAAGTAGTATTCAAAAACTACGTAATTTCTAATAATAGCTGACACTTGAACTGACCCCTTGTTATTGGATATTAAAAGAAGGAGATGTAATTAACAATTACTTCATGAAAGTGCGTCGGATAAGCCTGCGTTGTACACCATTTTACACAGGTGGTTTAGAGTGTCTGCGACGAAAGCTACAACCGGTTGCAAAAGTACTTGAGACACTGTATCGTATTTTGGCATAATTGGCTTGTCCATGATCTTGTGCTTGTGATCCCCCCTCCACCCCTTATCAAAGTTGCTAGCAATACAAGACCATACTCAAAACTTAGAGGAACAAATTACTTTGAATGGGAGGGAGGTCAGTGTTATATCTCACAGACCTGTGACCAGGAGCGATTTGAAGCAAGAAAGGACGTTTTTTTCGTGGGAGTGTCTCAACATTTTTGCAACTGGTTGTGTGAGCCCTTCATACCCCTATAGCCTCGAGAGCTCGCATGTAACGTGGCTTTGTATTCTGTACTTGGTGACGAAATTTCTTTCTTTCCCAAAAGGAAGTCACTGTCCCCAAGAATAGCAATTTTCCAGCACAGCAATGTCAGGAATTTACGTGCTTCAACGGCGGTCTACCATCATATGAGATAAATATAATAATATATTTCTTACTATTGCAGAATGGTAGACCGTGGATTGATGGTAGACCGTCAGAAAATAGAAACTAACATAGCACACAACTTTTTCTGTTCTCTAGCTCTAACGGACTTTAATAACCATCTTATTTTCACCGTAATAGATGAAAAAAACTGAACGGTTTTACTTTAACAGCGATGTTGTAAAATAAGTCACGCGGTATACCGATTACATAAGGCCATTGCATATCAAATGTCATTGCGTTACAGATGCAGGGGTTAAAATGAAGGTTTGGCAGCTTTATTCGCAACTATAATATCTTTTAATACCAAGAAAAGGAAAATTATGTTGTGATTAACCATTCGCACTTCTAAGAGTTAAGTGACAACGCCGAAACTTTAAGCTATGTCACGGTAGATAATGGCGCATGCGTTACAACAAAACTGAGGCAAAGTGTAAAAGTTACTACATTCTTAGGGCCTGTTTACATGGAGTGGGGGACCCCGGTCTAGTGGGGTTGGTTTCTTTTGTTTTCACGCTCTGGAGGACACAAAACAAAAGAAACTTACCCCACTAGACCGGGGTCCCCCAGTCCATGTAAACAGGGTCTTACGCGCTTTTTTAGGCAGTTTATTTGCTATCAATGAAAATGATGTATCGGCTGGGAAAAGCAACAGAAAGTGCCATTCTATTTAGTCCTCGTCGTTATAGTCTTCGGTTTAGGAATTTAAGACGTGGAAATCGCTTTTTGAAGTAAACCTTGAATGAGACAACCAGTTGCAAAAGTACTTGAGACACTGTATCGTATTTTTGTATTAAAGGCTTGTCCATGATCTTGTGCTTGTGATTCCTCCTCCACCCCTTATCAAAGTTGCAAGCAATACAAGACCATACTCAAAACTTGGAGGAACAACTTTGAATGGGAGGGAGGAGGGAGGTCAGTATTATATCTCACAGACCTGTGACCAGGAGCGATTTGAAGCAAGAAAGGACGTTTTTTCGTGGGAGTGTCTCAACATTTTTGCAACTGGTTGTAGCTTTGGATATAGGATCGGGTAGCGAGCCAACGAGCCGGGTAGCGTAGAGTTGGTTACAATCATGTCTGTCCAACAAGCGCGAGTGGAATAATTGTTTCATTAAAATCGCCCACAAAACATGGACGAACCTCCCTTAAAACCATCCGGAAAAAACTATGGACTTTCACTTTTCATGTCATACGCCGTCCACATTCCGCGAGGAATAGATGGACTTTACTCTCGATTACTATTTTTTTTTTATATATATTCGTATCGAACGGTTCTGGGATGAGTGGGCCCTTGGGCATACAGCTACTTCGAGAAAGGTTGTCGGAAAAAAAAGTGCACTAGACAATCCCGAAAGGTAATATGGGATATGATCAATACACCGTTCCTGACACTGTGGCTGTCGAACCTACTTTTGTTGCTTTCCTTTAGCACTCGCAAGCATACATCCATGGCCTCTTGCCATTCTTTCCGTGAACTCAAAACTCAGACCCACAATACTTTTCGGGATTGTCGCGCGCACTTTTTCCGACAACCTTCCTCGAAATAGCTGTAAATGCAAGGTCAATGCGGGGAACTTGTCACCAAGAAGACAAGCAAACATGAGAAAACTGCTGCTGAGTTGCCGGAATTTAAGGAAAAAGTTACTGAGAGAAACAGCAAGCCAGGTATTGATGAAAAGATTGCTTGGGGAGCGAGTTTATAATTTAATAAAAGTGCGAAGATGGTCTCAAATCCCTGAAGACATGTTAATAATATTTTTCAGTGTCGTTAAAACTTTTTAAGATACATTTTATTGAAATTAACGTTCCTATATCGAAAGCCTGAGGGAAAGTTAAAGCACCTTCTTTGTAGCTGACATTCCTAGCGGAGCGGATGAACAAAGATGACTTGAAAGGTAAAGTTTGTATATAAATTTAGGTTACATTAATAGCGGAGCTTTCGCGCGCGAAGCGCGTCAGCGGAGCACCATGGGTAAGAAAATGAAGTAATCTACTTATCCGAGAAAATTTAGTAATCACGTGATCGTACACTGACCGCCCGCCCGCACCACAGGCATACCAATGTAAAATAACTCAATCAACAGGTATGGCAACCCAAATGCAACTCGAGGTTATTTTGGCGGGAATTCTCATAGCCACCGTCTTCTTGTAAAGTAGAGACAGCAAGAGTCAATAAAGACGAAAACGAACAGCGGAAATTGTTTCTGTATCCATGTTATCTAAAGTATTAAGCTTAAATAAATTGTCATGTCCACAAAATTGGAATATAGAGCAAGAGAAAGACAGAGAAAGTGGGCGACAGGCCAGCGAAGCTCAACGAGAAAAAACAAAGGAGGCATTTTTTGTTGGAAGAACAATGGAAATTTTGTAGCGGCGCTGACAAAATGAGAAATGCCAAGGGCCACCAAAGCAAGGTGAAAATGTCTAATGAGCGGCAGTGAAAAAAAATGAACGAGAAGAAGTACGACATTTCCTCCACAGAACGTGTAACTAAAAAGTTTTTAATCGTTTCACGTTGCAGTCGTACAAAACGACGGCAAAGAAATGTACAAAAAAAGAGTGCTGCACGTGCAAAGTTGGTTTTTTGCTAATTAGACCTATTGTAAGTTTGTTTTTCACCGTTTTCCGCCGTTTAGCATTATACGATTTTATATTTTGTTTGAGCAAACTGTAAATATTATCTAGAGCTTCGCTTTTAGCCCAGGTTAAATCTATACATTGTATTATTTATCAAGCAACATATTTCGATCATAGCTAAGTACAAAAACATGCCTATTTTACTCGACGAGACGTTGAACACAGATTTTTGTACAGACGATAGATTATACCAAGCAGTTTAAAATCAATTTTACAGAGATACATACAAAATAAACTCCCTGGAGGATCATCACCTTGTTGTGGTCAGGGGGCCCTGTGTACGTACCCCAGTGATCAGGAGAGCTATGCAAGAGGGAGCTTAGCTTCTGGCAGGGTCACCCATGCAGGACAGGTCAAAGGGTAAAGGTCAGACGAAAAGTGATCCACCGGCCTCCCAGCTTGGGGATTGGCCGCTGGACTAATAATCCTGTCTTGTAAAAAAGTCTTTTGTTACGGAGAGAGCAACAGAAGGAACCAAAACAACTGGATATAATCGGCTTCCAGAGTTATCGGAAGATACTTGGGTGAATGACAGTGGTGAAAGCCGGCAGGTAACCACTGACAGGAAGATGGAAGTCCTGAGCACCAAATCCAAGGCCAGGATAGGATTTTGAAATGTGAGGACAATGTATGAGACAGGTAAGCTAGCTCAAGTAACATCGGACATGAAACGCTACAATCTGCATATCCTAGGAATTAGTGAGAGTAGATAGACGGGGTCTAGAAGACTCAGAACCAATACAGGAGAGACATTGCTATTCTGAGGAAGAGATGAGAGGAGAGGACTACCGGCAGTCTGATCACATCGAGTGGAAGCTAGTGAAAACAGCATATCTCCAGACCAGTAAAACCTGCTTGGGTACAAGAGAAAGAAAGAAGGCAGGAATGGATCACAGCAGAAACTTGGCCAGGCATTAACACCAAGAGAGACTTGACAGTTCATTGAGGCTAAGTCCGAGACGCTGAAAGAAAGGCACAAGCAGCTGTACCAATAGGCAGACAGAAAAATGAATAGAGAAAAGAGCGTTCATGGATGACCTTGCAAACCTGGCAGACGTCGCAGGTGGGGAATCATAACACATTTCCTGCCTCCCTGAAAACTATGAACATGAACGTCATTCTGAACCTGATTTTGACAACATGAGTTATTTATTAAGACGGATAATTCGCAATCCTTATATGTTCATGGCGAAAGCCTTATGGTCCATTGAAGGAGCGATATTCTCAAAATTCGTAAACAACTCTTTTTGCCTTGTGGTCATAATTAATACCGGCAGACCATACAGTAGTCTTGCATCTATATGTTCCAGATCGTTTGTTTTGGGGCTAAGTTCCATTTGCCACTTAAGCAAATACCACTATAACATTTTAATGCCCCCTCCCCCCCCCCTCCCCAATTTTGTATAACCATTGTTTTCAGTTTCTCTTGGGACGATTTCTGCAGTGGCGAATTGCCATCCAATTCTGTGAGGCGTTGTAACAGCTTTGATGAGCCTTAATAGCCGTTATTGACGATACCCACCATCTTTGCACACGCTTAATGACTGATAATATGAAAGCGATGTCACGTGGTTTCTTGCGGGGTAAACAACTGATAAATCACGTTCGATTTTAGCCTGCGTAGGAGGCGTCGAAAGGGGTAAGGGATAGGGAGGAAGGGAAAAGGGAGGGGGATTTGGGAGAGAGCCCTCTCCCGCGTTTTTCTCCCTCCTCCTCCCCCTCCCCCTCCCCTTTTTGCGCCCGCCACGCAGGTTAGTTCGATTTTGTTTATTCTGGCCAACAGAAAATCATTTTTGCTTTTTCGGATACCGTAGCGACCTACTTGTGGATGTTCTCACAGCAAGCAATAATGCGGCAAAGCTTGTCGAAACCCGAACAATGCATTTTACATGACTAAAATCGTCGACTCGTTTTGAGAAAATAAACAAACTCGACCGCGATTTCGCCTAGTTAGCAAATTTTATCACTTGTTTTCCCTCTTAATTACCCCGTGAAATCTCTTTTATTCCATCAGCCCCTAACGGGTGTGCAAAGATGTCGGGCATGGTGAATAAGGTCTATTAGTAAAATCCAACTAGTGGTCTATTATCAATGCTGCGTTCCGATTGGTTGAGCTACTACTAGGCTATATGTTATAGCCCACTAGTAGTGAAAAGCGCCGGCTTTGGAAACCAAAACAATGGCAGGTGAATCGCGTTTTGCTAGCGAAAGTTGTTTGGTGTCAATATTTTTGACCAACTAGTTGGATTTTACTAAAACAATTATTCCTCTCGCCCTCAGAGCCTCTGAGTCAATAGCTATTGACTCGGAGCTCATTCGGACGCCATTCGGGCTCGAGGAATAATTGTTAATTAGTCTAACATCCATCAAGGAAGGATATAGGGTATTATCAATATCACCTTTTGCTGATATGGTGTCAACGAGACAAGTGATTTGACCTCAGTAAATCTGCCAGAGAGCATACTGAAATGTTCTTGTGGTTAACTTGTGTGTTTTAAAAGTTACCAGTTTGCTCTTTTATTGGTTTTTCGGGCCTTGATTTCTATGTTAAATATAATTGTGACGAGTGGAAAAAAAGAGAAAAAAAATCTACTGATAGAAACTGTGCTCTTTTTGTCAGTGTTTAGGTTTTGAACAGCGTTTTTTAATCCTCTAACGTTTTCATTCGTAACATGTTTAAACGCGGACGTCATCTTAGTTAATTATTTTTCGTGTTTTAGCCTTGTTTTCATTATCGTAACTTGACTCTAAAAAGGCCCGTGGGAACAAGCCAATAAAATAGTATTCGAAAAGGACAGAAGGCAAATTGTTGTCACTCGACGAAATATCTAAAAATCGTAACTGTTCATCAGTGGGATGCATAAGATGTGTGCAACTCCACAATTGGTTTGGGCTCCATTAAATCCTATGTAAGTATCTAGCAACACAGAGATATAAGCGGAACGCTGTCACAACAACTTTGTAATGTCACTGTGGTAAGTTACAAACAAGTGCAGACCGTTCACGCCAACATTAAGGTCTGGAGTAATCAGAAGGCCTCGTTTATATGGAGAAACGTTGTCTCGGGAAAGACGGTTACCCTCTCAGCCGAGTCAACTTTAGCGAGCGTATATGTGAGGAAACGTCGAGTCGTTGAGCCTTATACTCGAGCCAAAAGCGCTAGAGCACGCTCTGATTGTCTAAAACATCGCTTGCGCATGCTCTGATTACCTCGCCTTGACCGAGTTGACCTGGATGGGCACGGCTAGGAGGGTGACTCCACCAACTCGCCGAGCCAACTGTTTATTTCGGCATGCACTAACGATTCGCCACGTTTTGTAAGGAAATGTATGAAATGTTGGCTCCCTCAGGGTAGCTCTGGTAGTAGAGTGAACCTTCTCTCGCGACAACTCTTCTCCATATGAACCGGACCTTAGACACCCATGACATTAAATGAAGAAAATCGCTTTGTAAATAAACAATATCTTTCTTGGTGTTGGGTCTGATAACGAACAATCCACTAAGTTTTACACCATGGATCTCAACGACGACGACAAAGAGGTCAGTTACACTGGTGCAATTCCACAATTCGTTTAGGCTCCAATAAATCCTGTAAGTATGTAGCCATACAGAGATATGAGTGACGACAAAGAAGTCAGTTACACAGGTAAAGAGCTGAGATTATGACTTTCTTATAATTCAGGTAATACTGTAGATCCCGTCACTTTTAGTGATAAAGAAATCAAAGTTGTCTCGTCCACAAAGCTGTTAGAAGGTGTAGTTTCAGACAAAATTTGTATGCAAAAAGGCTACGTGACTCTCCTGCTCTCTTTAAACGGTTAAAGCAAGCAAAAGGAACACCTTTACCTCATTGCCTCACGAAATTTGTCACCATTTACCCTGGACTATTGTTAGATTTTTAAGTTTTTTTTATTTTTGATTTTTTTTTTTTTTTGAGACTCGAAAGCTATTATAATAAAGTTTTCAGATTTGAGCGTAATTAAGACATTTTTTTTGCAAGAAAATCTTGCTGAGTAGCTTGAATTCTGCTAGTTTTTAATTTTCTTATTTCCTGTCTGCAATTTCCATTTTAGCGCGACAGTTTGTATTTGCTAACGAATGAGGTCCAATTGTATGACTTGGCGTCAACTTTTTGAAAAGCTGTTTTCGATAGTAATTACGTTACCGCAGCCTTTCAGAATAGGGGCTCTTTTTGAATATTTAATGTTTCTAATGTCAGCTGCCACTGTCTCGCTTTTATATTGTGCAGAAAAAAAACTGTTTTGAGTAATCCATACTCAGTTGCTGTTTTAAGATAGGCTGAGGGAGCAGAAGCTTCGAGGTAAGGCCTTGACTACAGAATTCTTGCGATAAATCATGGGGTTTAGGCTTCCATTGTACAGTTGTCGCATTTTTTGTTTCACACTTTAACTAGCATTTCATTATTGAGTGTGGTTTTTATTTATGAACGTAGCTCTCCCGATCGCTTTGATCGTTGTCACTTAAAAGATTTCGTTGAGGTAAAATTTAGCTTGCTCTGTTAAGAAATATTCATAACCTCTACGCTTCAAAAAGTTCGAGCGTCAAATCGAGCGAGTGTATGTTTTGTCTGTGCCTACAGAAGACATATACTTTTTCCTTGAAGTTTGTCGTAATGCAAATTACATTGGGTGTGATCAATATACAGCCAAGCGAAAGCTTCGTATTTAATCGATCTCTGACTATATTCATTTCAAAAATCATCAGAAAAGACTAAAGACATTTTGACATCTTTTCACAAATTTGTATTCTTATACACTTACTTTGCTGAAAATTAAAGGTCATTTATTTCTTCATATATGGAGACATACTGCTCGGTCAGCGGGAAAATTGTTATATTCACAGCGCTTGAGCAGAATGATATTTGGGCGTCTTAAATGATTCGACGGAATAAGTGTTATTTTGTAACCATTATCACAAAAAAAATCAATTTCAAATGCCACAGCGTTGTATAAGGTTTATATCCTTAAATCCTGAAGCTTCCTTAATTTAAACCTGAGTTGAGATTCAGTTTACAATAATAGCTGTATTCAGAACAAAAACTGTGAACAGTACACACTCAGTTAACGAATATTTAATCATTTAGTGATACTTTTGCTACCCCTGTGCTACCAAATTTTAAAAAATCCTTTTCTCCTGATTGCAACTTTGGCAATTAATGGAAAAAAAATAGCCTACGAAAACCGTGTGGCTTCAACATGAAGAAAAAAAGATATTCGATGACTGTCTAAGGACGTCATAACTCCTGCCAATATAATACTATCACGGTTTCTTTAGTCCATGTTTTTTGATCATATGTTCTTTGCAATGTGGACCACATCCGAGATCCACTGCAAAAAACACAAAGGCTTTCAGTTCAAACCAACCGATTGATAGTATTAAATTTGTCCGTAAAAGAGTTTCCAGTTATTTACGACCTTTATTTGACAACAGTGGTTTCCCTGTCAATCTTGAAGAGACCTTTTCCCTTCATAAAAGAACTGGAATTTAAATTTGCAAGACCAGAAAATATCTCCCTATTATTGATAATCATAGTTGTCACTCTGTGTTTTACCAACGAGACTTAAAGACCGCCTAACCGCCTTAAAGCTAATCATTGTATACTTACTTTAATTTTACAAAGGTAACTCAGTTTTTCTCAAAAAAAGAAAAGATTGTTTTCAGTCGCCGCTTCTGTTTTCCACTTTCAATGAGGGTTGGATAATTAATGGCTGCCAGCTTGCCCGCCATATCATGATCATTGACTCGAGAATGAAATTGCAGGCTTGTTGTGCCCCGCGTTAGAGGTGACACATATGAAATATTAACATAAGATAACTAAATCTTTCATTCACTTGTTTTTATGCTAAGGTAAATGCCATTGAGGTTTGGGAGATTTAACCTTTCACTTCTAATACTCCATAGGCCTCCGAGCGGGAAACTTACATGTTGTCGTGTGACGGCGTCTACATCTACCAGTTTCCGTTTTTTTTTTTGTAGTCTAGAACAATTTTTGGTGCGAAGTTAGAGTAACTTTAGCCTGAGTATCAGGCCTTCCTAAGGGGATAGGGGAGAGGATATTTTAGATTCAGCTCTCTCCCTTTTTCGCTTCCATCTTTCCCCTTTTCTCCAGAAACGCCTGATACTCAGGCTAGAGTAACTTGCAAGTCCCACGAACCAGACAGCAAAATTTAGAGACCTCGAAGTGACTTTTTGGTACTTTAATGACAATTAGTTTTTTATACTCTCATAGAGAGCGGAGCATCCATGTTGAAGGAAAACTGTTCTAAAATGCATCTCAAAAAAAGCCTGACAAGGGCCTAGGATGGATTACGGGAGTTTTTTAGCTAACGGGATTGCAATAAAATTCTGAAAACATGTCGCAGCCGAAAAAATCTCGCTTCATATATTTTACGCAATCTAAGAAATAAGAGAAAAAGGCAAGAGTGAAGGCGAAAACTGGTTTCTGGCATTGCCGTTTAACTTTTTTTGTTTGTAGGCGAGTGAATTTTTTTAACTTTTGTTATTTATACTTTTTTTCAGTTTAACTTCACTTTGGCATGGACGTGAAGGACATTCTTTTGTGGCGGGATGTCAAAGTGTCGGCCGTTGTGTTTGTCAGCGGTTTCGTACTTTTGGTTTGTCTTACACAGTTTAGTGTGGTCAGCGTCATCACCAATACTGCTTTAATTTGCCTCGCTCCCATGCTGGCCTTGCGACTTCTGCTAACTGCAAGATCTGCTTTCTTGAAGAGCGAATTTGAACATCCACTTAAGTATGACTTCCTTAACGCATAACTTATTTAAAAAGTCATGATAAATATGTATATTGCTTTCAAAAAGTTTCCAAACGTATACAAAAATATTTTATTTTATTTAGTAAATGCCAAGGAAACCAAAAAAAGTCTTACTGAAATATGAAAAGAGAACTATACACAACTATAAACGAGACTAACTGTAATTCATGGGAATTCATCTTACCGCTTTTACATGTATTATTTTCAACGCCTAAACTGAAAGACGGCAAAAACTATTTTGAGACCCTTTTGTAGGGAAGAGGGCTACGTATGTCCTTATTAATTTGAATCGTTTCGCGTTTTTTAGCGGGAGCCATGTCCGTATGGATATTTTCACTATTGTATTTGTTCTAGTCTAAGTCGCTGTCGTAGTTTCAGCGAAACCCATCTTTGTGTCGTTTTTCACTACTTGATATGTCTTATGTCGCTTTTTCAATGCCATACATGTCGATTGACAGAATTCTACCTAATTTTTACATAGCTGAAGCAAGACATTTCTCATTTTGTCTCATAGAGTGTACCTGTCCAAAGATATTGAGGTATCCAAAGACAAGGTAGGTGACATCGCTTCTACCAAACATTATAGTACCCGGTTTTATACTGATTGTCTCTGTCGAAAATTGTACTAGTGCAAGGGGTCCACTAGAGCTGAACTGGGCACGGACATTATTAGAGACCTCAAGATCGAGGTTTTTGGTCAGTTCTCTCAAACTGCGAACGTCAAGAAGTCACATGAGTAGTGCTTTGCCGTCAGTTTTGAGGTTTGAGGTTTACGTTTGTACGGCTAGAGCACGCTGTAGAGGTTGAGTGATTACCTCTTCAAATTGGTTTTCGAGTACAGGAGGGAAGGGGGCTGGGGGAGGGTACAAACAAAGCGATTTGGAGAATTGTGCGTACCTCTAAAAAAATCCTGGCTACGCCCCTGACAAATATTTACGTTTTCAAGCTTCTCGAAAATAGAGGTCGAACAAAGTGTCAAAAACGTTACGTTAGTCCCATTTTGCAAAACAGAGTGCTTTGATTAGATTATTAGAGTTTTTCGAACCAGTAAAATAACAAGGGAAGCCAGCTGTAGGTGACTCTGAGCGCACTGAAGTGTGAAGTTACATCAAAAGACTCAAAAGTGAAGTTAAATTAAGGGCGTTTGGCCAAATTAACGATTTAATTTCATCAATTGATCTTCAATGTACGTGTACACAATCGAGGATTTTGGCAGTTAAGGTTTGACAGAGATCACTTCAATCACGATTCAGAGAACAGTTTCTCAGTAAATCACGATTCAACGACATTAAAAATGGTCGATCACGGCGTCACGAAAACAAGCGTGCCAATCTCAGAAACACATTAGTCTATCTTCATTTGATGTAGCCCAACTTCAGTTTAAATAAGCCCAGCATGATTGCTGCTAACCAGAGAAAAGAATCTTGGTAACCAAAGAAAATTATTTTTACTGATGATATCCGTGCTTGTTTTTCTCATTTTAATTTGAAACTTAGGCGGACCTGGTTGGTGAAAAAGTCGCTGAAATTGCTGTTTGTCTGACATCAAAGTTGAAAAGACTTTTCTTGGTTGAGGACTTGTCGGAATCTTTAAAGGTAGGCTTTTCATAATTAGTAAGGGCACCATTGCATTTTTCAAGCATTCTAAGTTTCAGATTCTAAGTTAACAGCTCATTGATGGCATGAGCTGTAGCTACTATGCACAAGGTAACGTAGAATTCGAAGATAGACAGATATTCCACCATCTCGTCCCTACTAACTGCCCCTGGGTCTCCGAGGATGATATTCCACGTTCATCACGCAAATTTGGCGTTTGAAAAGACTAACTTGCTGGCGTCGTAAGCAGAAGACAAACTAAATTTAAAAAGGGTAAACGATAAACGTCGTTTTGCTTGCGTGGAGGGATAGTCAAAGGAAACCTTTACTGAAGGAATACGATTCTTCAATTGTGAACTGAGGCTTAGTTTAAATGATTCTCAGTGCCGGATCCAAATCTTGAGATAAGTGGGGGGGGGGGGGGGGGGGCGGTCATCCAGACCCTTAGATATTAAAGGGGGGCGATCGGGCCTCAGTTTGGTCTAAAAATAAGAGGTGACCCCGGGGGGCCCGGGCCACTCCCCCGGATCCGCCACTAATTCTGGAAGAGCAGATTAAAACACTTAAACAAAAACTAATCTTCATCTTTTATCTTCACTGGGAGAAGACAATTTTCTCGCGCGAGTAGATATTATCTCGTTCCCAAAGGCTTGCGCTGGATGGGGTAACAAAGGCCCTGAGACGAGTTCACTGTAGAGCGGATATAGACTAAATGTCGCTGCATACAGCTACCTTCTCAACCTCATTTCGAGGTTCTCTCTTCCTCCCGATCCCTAATCTCTCACTTTCGCCAATAGCATTTTCAATTGCACGAAGAAATAGTTTTCGTTCGTTTTGACTCCTGATCCATGATCCAGTCGCTTTTCAAAATGACCGCGATCTCTCTAACAACCGTAAATCACTTCACCGTTTTATATTTTTATCATTATATTGTATTTTATCGTTTATTATGTCGTTGGAGGTTGCATGGGAGATTACAATTTGGGTTTTATTAACAAGACAGGTCACTAACTAAGAGTAAAATTCTACTGACATAAATGACTACAAAGAAGCTTCAAGCCTGAATTAACATTTGCATGTGCAAAGTTCAAGCGATGACCATGATTTGTGATCGTAATGGAACTGGCCCAGTTAATGAAAAGGTGGATAGCGTAATTCACCGGATAAATCGCTATCCAGAAGATAAGTATTAGTGAAACTAGTGGATAGTGATTTATCCATGGATAGTGTTCTTCAACGTTTAAAAAACCGGCACTGGAAACCAAATGTGAGCGTGCATTTACTGTAACAACTACTCGGTTTGTTATTCCCGCAGCTGTTAATAGTGCTGTACATTCTGTCTTATGTGGCGCAGTGGTTCAGTGGAATAACGCTCACGTTTATTGGTAAGCAGACTACGAGCAGTCTCTCTCTTTTCTTAGTCAGTCGAGCGAAAGATACGAAAATTAGAACGCGCGCACCCTCGATTCTCGCGCGTCTTTTACCTTTTTTCTAACTCATACTCGTTCCCAGAGCCCGTCGTTTCTTTTGGTCACGCGGTCAGGGAGACGAGGAGCTCTCCTAGCAACTTTTAAAAAGTGTCAGAACACTAATCTAAGATATGGAAGTGCTCAGGGTCCCCCGTTCATTCCAAGAGAAAAGCGACAAAGTTTGTATCAAAACAATGTCGACCCCAACTTTTCTATATTGCCAAAGCTTGGGGTAATAAGTTTGCAACTGAACTAAATTGGCCACGATAGGCATATAGTGAGAAAAAGTGTTTTGCAAAGGAAGACCTTTCTTTTGAAATCAATTAAGACAATAACACCTTAACTAATACTTACTTTAAAAAATGATGTCCTTTTCCTTTTGCGTCGTTGTTTTTTCAGCCTTCGTTGGAGCTTTTACTGTCCCTAAGGTTTATGACATATACCATGTAAGTACTAGTTGAATCTGCAATCAGTCTTTACACTTCAGTGTTAAAAATAAATGGTGCGATGTCATCTTCAGAATTTATTTCGATACCACAAATTCTATAGATCGTAGATAATTAGCCTGGCTAGTAGTTTCGTAGCAGGAGTCTGCGGGACATGCACTAAATCGGAGCGAGTTCTGGAAATCCCTCACTTTCCCCCCAAACTAATAAACTGCAGGCCAGGGGCTAGATTAAATAAGATAAAGAAACTAAACATAGAAACTAGCATGTGATTACTTCAGAAAATGCCTAAGACCCGTGCAAATGGACGCAACATTGTTGGATGTTTTATGTTGCGTCCGTTTACACACGCTGTTGCATCCACATGTTGTTGCGCAAACTTTGAAACCTTCTATTTCTTTATCTACGTGCAAACGGACACAACAACTCCCAACATTGTTGGGTTGGACAAAAATTTTGCGTTTGTTTGCACAAAGCTTTTTCAGTATCCCTTGTTCACGTCATTAAGACAGTTCATGCCGTTTTTTCTGCCAATGAAAATCCCTCTAAGGGCCACGAATTTAAATCTTTTGCAAGTTTTATCTCGAGTGCAACTTAATACGAAATAAAGAACACTGGGAACTGATCTCTAAACTTGAATGAATCAGGAATTAAAACAGGGATGATCATTTTATAACAAAGGAGTTGGATATAAAACTCTGTTATAGAATTAAAGCTGGAACCTTTGACATTAAATTTCAGGGGGAGATTGACTCGTGTATAGCGAAAATAAATCAAGCCATCGAAGACATGACTGGAAAGTAAGTGCTTTTAACCTTCATGTTTTCATATTCTGGAGCAATTTTTTTACTCACTCTTAAAGCCATCTGTAAATACATGTTGTGGAAGAGGCCTAAGATTCTTAACGGCCGTGACGTTAAGCCCTACGCCCTGCTTTTTACCTAGCTTGTCGACTTGAAGAGGATGTAAACAACCCGACACTGTAATGCAATGCAACAAGTCGACTCCTCGCGGGGGACTTCTGTTTGCGCTTTGCTCTCCAGACATCTTGTTATCAGCTGCAAGTGTCGACTCTTCCAATCACGCTAAGACAAATAACATAAATAATGATAATAATAATAATGATGTTGATGATGATGATGATGATGACGATGATGATGACGACGATGATAACAATGACAAAATAATAATGAGGAGGAGGAGGAGGATGATTATTATGATAATGTTGTTGTTGTTGTTGTTGATGATGATGCTTCTGCTGATGGTGATAAAAATATTGTCAAAACCATAAGACACGCTTTTTAACTAATTAAAATCGATTGAAACGCCTATGTGTTTTCATTCTTATGTAGGATAACTTCCAAAGTACCGATGGTCAAAGGAAAAGAGATCCCAACTCCGGATGATCAAAATTCCGAGGATAACGACAAGAAGACGTCTTAAACTCGTTACATTATTCGTTTTCATTATAATTCGAGAGAATTACTTTCTGATTAGGATGTTATGATTTGGAAATCTTTTGAAGGCTAAATTTTGTTTTCATTATGGCGCGAGAAACAACTTGTGTTGCATAAAAGCACCTTAAGATAATCGTGATATTTTTGCAGGGTAGTGGTGCACTGTGAATCAGCTCCGATATATCGCCTTCAATTATACAAGGTGCACACTACAAACCTTTAGTTAACCTGGCTTATGTATGTTTTATAGCCTGCTCCAAGGCTATCACCCCAAAAGACTGCACAGTAATCTAACATATGCATGGACCTCACGATTCCGTACGGTTTTGCACCGCTCACGATTAATATTAGTAATGAATAATTACTGTCATTCAGTCAGCGTTTTGGAAATGTTCCGTTTTTATCCGTAACTACAAGTTCAGCAATTCCCACACATTCTAGCCTGCTAGCAAGCTCTTCGGGGAGCTCTTTTCCCGTCCCGCCGCCAGAGTACCCCGGAAAGCTTGCTCGTAGACTACACATATCCGATCCTATGAGAGCATGCACCGGATACAGTTCGAAAAGATGTTGCCTATCTTCAGGGAAACCTTTTTCAATGTTCAAATGGAAAGGGAGTGATAGATTTGTGTCTAGTCATTTGAACTGGTATTACCCTTAGTTACGAAGAAATAGAATCGAAAGCTCGAAACAAACAAAAAACAAACGAATGAGAAGAATTAATTGTTTAAAGTGATCTTGTTCAGCCAAATTAAATGCAATGTAAAAATATATACATAGAATATAAGTAATAGATTTTATTTATTTGTATTTTTTCTTCCCTAAACATTCTTTTTAATAAAGCCCGCAATAAAGGAGATATGGAATAATAATAATAATAATAATAACAATAATAATAATAATAATAATAATAATAATGCAGTATTTCAAGTTTATTTATGCTGTACCGATTAATAAGCATTATACGGATGCCGTCCTTTGAGGGCATCAAACATCAGAAAGTTATAATATGGACACAGTCTCCTTTCGCTAAGATTCCTTGACAGCTGGTTAAGAGACAACAGCTGTTATAATAACTAACATAATGCTGCTAAATCGAATGATCTTTTCCAGTGGTTTGTAAAGAGATTTAAATTATAGGAAAGATAATAAAATAGAATATGAGATTGCAAAAGAAACAAAAAAAAAAGAATTCTTGCCTTCAGTTTTTGTCCGCTTACCTGAGTGTAACCGCCCTACTTTTACCCCGCCAGCAGACGTTTGCGTAATTTTCTCCATGGTCTGCATGTAAGCAAACCATCCAGCTTTCTCTGTTCCATGCTTTCCCAAGGTTGCTTGATTTAACTACTGATATTACTGTGCCGTAACTATATAGTGTAACATTACCTGGGATATATATCTCCTTTGTGGTCATACTGCGAGATAAATTCATTTCCAAATCAGAAGCACTACTCCAGAATCAGAGCGCTACCCAAATCTGTGTAGTGATGCGTCAGCAGTATGGATTTTATGCGCTCGTTCTTCAGACTTCTTTTCGCGGGGAAACTAGAGTTGGGTCGGGTCGGCTATTTTTTCAGGCTAGAAGAAAGCGCACAACGAAATCGACGTCCGCAGGTAACAATAGAGAGGTCCAACCGACGCGTACTAATTCGTCCGTTTTTTGAAATGGCTCTCGGGTCGATCTTATTGCAACGTTTGTTTTTCGCTTTGTTTTGTTTTTGTACGATTATAAGCGCTCTTGAATCTAAGGCATCTTTATTGTTTGACTTGATTACGAGCGCCCACCATTAAGGACCTTACGAAACTACGACGGCGACGACAACGAGAACGTCCAATGAGGAAAACAACAACCCTGCACGTGCATCACGCTTTTTTGTACATTTCTTTGCGGTCCCTGTACAACTACGACGTGAAATGGCCAAATTTTAGGTTTACTTGAGAACGGGAACGGCAAGGTGATAAATTCTACCATCTCTGTCTGAACTCAGTCGGGCGTGGCCCCCTCTCTTCAGCTCCAACCTAAATTCCCTTCTTTTAAGTAACAGGGCGACTTGGGGCTAATCGCGAAATAGTTTGAAAGGATACGAAGCCTATTTTTTAGTGACGTTTTTACGGTCGCGCCGTTGTCTGATCGTACGGTTCTTATTAGTCATAACTCGCCGAGCAGACCAGTGCAATGACTTGTTTTCAGCGAAAGTTCTCGTAAAGAGCTCGAATGACCGTAAGGGTCCCAAGTCCCGATTCTTAGGTGTCGAGCGGAGCATGGTATCTAATGTTTACGACGTAAAAATAGAACGATGCGGATTGGTTGAAAAAAACAGAAACGCCTACCTGTAAAGAAAAAAAATATGTGTAGGGTAGGGTACTGGGTGGTTACTGTTTCATCACTTTTTTTAATAGCCCTGTTATTATCTTTACGCTGCAACCGAGTTGTCGATAGTATAAGTAGTATTGTCTCTAAGCAGCGAATATATTAATTTTTTTCTGTTGCACAAGCCCGTCTGTAGAAAGATTTGTTTTGACTTCCCACCCCTACCCTACTAAGGTTTCCAGAGTTCTCAGCGTTCATTCCGCTTTCTGCTGAGACAACAAGCTCTGCATTCGCTTTTCCACTTTTCTACTGAAAATGCCTCCCAAGAAAGGGAAATCAAAAGCCGCCGCTGCAACCGAGGTCGTGCGAAGCTCTCGCTTCAAAACGCTGGAGGTAGATGAAAGAATCTCGATTAAAAGTTTTGTAGAAAAACACAAGCTGAAATTCGCGACTGGAAGGGGATTCTATCAACTAACAAAACCTGAAACTATTCAGTTCCACAAAGAGATTGTGGTCAGAAGAAAATCTGACGGAAAAATGGCTTCTGGAGATGAGGTAAAGAATTGTTTTTTCTAAAACTTTTATGTGTGAACTTACGAGTTTTGCAAATGGCATGCTCAGTGTTTCTTAATTCAACGAAAGGATGGAGACACAAGACAATACTGAATATGTTCAGAAACGAACACAAGTCACACAACCATTTTAGATCGTTAAAATTAAATATCTGCCAGTTCTAGGGTCTAAATTTAAGGAAAATTAGCAAGGAAAACCGTGAATTTTTAGAGTGAGTCACTCTGGGGCTGCATTGCTTATAATTTTAAGCTGGTCTGAGATTCAGGACAGGTGTATATAAAAGTAAACTTACTTCTCTTAAAATAAAATCTTATTAAATTATAAATTTTATTTCCCCTATAATATCTACTTGTCCATTTAACTATGTCGTCTAAAAACTGCGGTAGAACTGAGCTGATACTGAAATTGTAGACTGGGGTTTTTTTATTATCTAAATCAAGAGCTTAACAGTTGAACACTTCCAAAATAAATTAATTTTATTACACCACCAAAGGACTCCCCAAGGTCTGCATCATAAAGATGTTTTTGAGTTGGCCTCTTACACAAATATCTCTGTCTGACTCTCTGCTGCACCACTACATTTAAAAATACTGAACCCCGAATAAGCGCCCTACATGAGGGTCTAAAACTAGGGAAGATTGTTTTAGTTTGTGTAAATTATATAATGAGAGTGCAACAATTAATTATTGTGGCTGCACTTGTAAAAGAATGGAAATAAATCTCCTTTGTCAGAAAAAATTTTTCCTGCATAGCTGGCCACATGAGATTCAAACGAATAATTATCCCATCCATCAGGCCAAGTTTGAAATTAGCACCAAGCCAAGGACATTTAGAGAATCGAAAATCAAAATCTAAACTTAAACCTCAAAGGAACCATAATACTGGGACCAGTATACTTTCTTAAGCTCTTTAGATTTACAGCCTAGAATTTAAATCACTGATATCTTTTAACAGGTTCGTGCATTACTTGGAATTGCTAAAGAGACTGTCAAATTCAAGCTCGACAAGGAAAAACTGGCGGATTTTGATGTGTTTGTCCAGTCGACCTCTTACAACCGGATCTTATTGCCAGACACTGAGTTTCTGTATGACACAGGTGAAAAAGAAAGTACAGCTGTTTCAGATGAAGCTGTAAAAGTAGATTCTACTGCAACTGTAGATACTTCTAAAAAAACTGAACCCAGCACAAGCCGAGGAGCTGGCAGAGGAAAGCGGAAAAAAGCAGAGGAAGAGGTACACAGTAAACTCTCGCTAATTAGATGAATACAGCTGGGAGAAGCATATAGCTTCCCATAAAGCCATTCTTAGACTTTGTCACGCATTCCTGTCCCATGAGTGTTTATGTTCTCTGAAGAGGATTGTGTGACGAGCGAAAAGAATGTCTATGTGCGAGGCTACAGCAGAAGTAGGGCTGTCACTAAGATTTCAAGTTACTGGGTGTATATGCAATTAGTATAGACAGGAAATTGGACAACTAGAATGTTCCTTTTGTTCTATTTTCTCTTTGTTCCTTATGAAAGTATAGCCAGGGGTCATGCTAACAGTAGCCAGGGGAAATTTTTGGCACTGCCCCTGTTTTACGTAACTGTCCTTTGAAAGTGCCCATTTTGTTATGAGAGTTGTCTGCTCATAAAAAGATTCCAGGAAAATGACTATAAGCAATGGCAGGGATATTAACCATCTCCTGATAGCTGTTTTAAATTTAGAGAAAGTTTGTCTTTGAAAATCATTGTTAAATAAACTCCCTGTCTTGATCATTGGACTATTTCAACTTTGCCTGTGCAATTGACTGCGCATGCGGCCCCAGTGTACACTGTTTTGAGGTGTCTTATTTAATATTGGTGCAATTTGTCCTTTAATTTAGGAGAGAATCATCTGTATTCTTCTATGCATTAATTTCTTCTAAAGATAAAGTGACCCCTTTTTCATGGGTAACCTAAATAGGTTGCATGCACTAGCTGCCAGGGCGATATTTTTGATATTTTGTGGTTCAATTCTATGGCTTAAGTTTTGATACCAATTAAGTTATAAAATCTTTAGTTGTGTTTTGTTTCCATCATGGCCTTTATATGTCGACTGGCCAGGCAGTTATGTAAAGTTAATGTTACAGGTCAAAATTAAATTCAGGCTAAATGCTATGGCTTAATAATTATTCATGGGTAGGTGTATGGAAAAGTTGGGAGGTTTTAAATGTGGGAACTTTGATGACATCATCAAAACCTGGACTAGTTCAACCCTTATAACTTTATCTATAGCCTATTAACATTCAGTGAGTTACCTCGCTTTAGCCTTAATCTAATCTAGCTTTTCCTGAAGGTTCCCCCATTACATTATTTTTGTTTTATTTAAAAAAGGCCTTGAGGTCTAATGCTAGAGAGTAGCAAGGCCTGATCAACATTAGCATTACATTTGGGGTCTTCTTAAAATTATATGGCTATTATTTTCTACCATAACCATGAATTTGTTTTCAAATTAACATTTTTATAGGCAACGGCAGCTACTAAGGAAGAGATAGAAGATCGCGAGAAAGCATCCTCCCCATCAAAGAAGTCAAAAGTAGCAGCATCAGCAGCAGCTGCAACTGGAGGAGCTGATGTAAAGGAAATAGTATTTTCATTTGATACCACTGGCTCCATGTACCCTTGCTTAACTCAGGTAAAGATATTTTGAAAATCAAAGGACATAGGTAGACATGCCTCCTGTCCAGGGAGGGAAGTGGTGGTGATGGTAGTGGGAGGAGGGGGGTGGTGTTGTCATTTTTTAACAATGCCAAGTTAAACTCTGTGATAGTCAAGCATTTCATCCAGAGAGGAGGTAGACTGTGAGCAGTCTCTTATTTTTCTTTTGAGTCACAGTAGATCAAGAGCATGCATGGGGGGCGAGCATCAAAGCCACGAGGAACAAGGGCAGAAACCTAAGTGCCCCAATCTTTCCTCCTTTTTACCATTAATTTGCATAATTTTACTTTTTCTCTCGCCGTGCGTGGCTCTGAGGAAAGAAGGAGGACTGCTCGGTAATTAAGGAGCAGTTACAAGGATGTTGACTGTTGACCATTGTTCCTCCCATCCCCCCCACGCCCCACGTGTCTCCCTTATTCACCTTGCACCAAGCCCTCTCTTTTGACCCCACTTTCTGTTCCCCTCAATCTTTCTGCTGAAGTTCAAAGCTAGGATGAATTTAGACTTTCTAAAAGTCCTTTATTTATTTTTCGTGGTTGGTTATGCCATTTTAAAGGACTTTTTTCGTACCTGTTTGGCGCGAAATTCAGTGGTCGAAAATTCTACAGGTGACGTCATGACAATTGACCAATAGGACAGTGAGTGATATTTCATCCCCCTCCTGTCACAGCATGTGTCAATCATTTTTTTTGTCTGGATTTTTAATATGATTCAAATCCATTCAGTCAAAACAAGTCAACCTCGAGACTTCTTCGCTCGGTCGCTGCGGACCTCATGCATTGAAGCTCGCTTTGCTCACTTTTAAGAACTTATGAGAGGTCGACTTGTAGCAAGTCTAGGATGAATTATGAAGAAGCTGGGAAGTCATTCCCCTGTACACAGCAACACCTGTGTCACACTTGCTAGTGTACATATACGCTTAAAAGAGGTGTCTACAAAACACCAGTTTCTTTTGCGAAAGATGTAAGACCAAGGTTGTAGTGGACTAACTGGTGCTCATGTCCGTATTATGTAAAGACTGTCAGCTTTATGTAAGGTCTTATTAGTACAGGTTTCACCATGCATCCTTGTCCATTTTCCCTAGAAACCACTAATTTTTAACAAGAGACTGTATGCAATTTACAAGTAATTTTGAATTTTTTTAAGTCACGAATTTAGCTTATAACATTTAACTTTTTTATGATAGGTGAGGAAACGTGTGGAAGAAACAGCTACTCGTCTGTTTCGCGAGATTCCCGGCATTCGCATTGCTGTGTTTGCACATGGCGACTATCAAGATAAATCACAGACATATGACACAAAGTGGGTGGACTTTACTTCTGATAAGAAGAAAGTATGTGATTTCATCAAGAATGTATCCTCGACCTGTGGATATGATTCTGACGAGTGCTATGAGCTGGTTCTTAGGCAGGTAAGATTTGTGAGGATTATCGGCGTTCATTTTCGCGATACAAGTTGATTCAGTCCGGAGGTCTGAAATAGTTTCCGTACTTGGCTCAAAGAATGACGAATGTTCACCCTAAATGTTTTTTATGTTCTCGCGAAAACTGTACTTGAAGTCATCGAAATTGTCATCTAGTTTCACTGCTTAAGTTCGTATCGAACCGACTTTGTATCGAAACGAACGGTTTCCTCTGCGAGTCTGTCTATCAGGGCATATGTACCTGCGGTTGTCGCTTTCGTCGCTCGTTTGCGATGGATTATGGAGTTCATTCACTTTGGGGCGAACTCGATTACTTACGGGGCTAACTAGTAGGGAGCTAACTCGCTATGGGGCGAAACCACTGTCTTCCGTCTAGGCGGGCGGGGGGAGGGGGATGAAGAAACCGGGTTTAGCTTCCACCGGCTTTAGGGCTACTTCGCTTGAAAGTAGAATCAACCTGTGCCCATTTACTTTCTAGTCTGTCCAGCTGAGCTTTGAATATTTCTTTGTACTGTATCCTTCCCCGTAGAGAATAAAACTTGGTGGTAAAGGTGTACGGACGAGAGGTTTTACCCTGTGAGCAGAGGTAGAGATGTTTAAGCCACTAATGTCATTGTGTCCCGGGCTCTTATCTCGGAGTGCGGGTCGAGTCTTTTGTTTTTCCTTATCCTAAGTTTGTTTGTTTGTGTTCTCCTTGTTTTGCTCTTTCCGCCTACTACGCTTTTCTTTCTCTTTAAATTATAATTCGACCTTGAATGCACGACCACGTGTAAAACGGGTCCTCCATTTTTCTTATGTTTAAACGGCGAAGAACAGTGAACAGTCGTAAGATACAATAAAGAAAAAATAGAAAATTTACAAGGTGCGCTACAAAAAATAGCTAAAGCTTAAAACTGATAGAGGTGCAACGTGTTTACTACGTTTCAACTTTCCTAAACGCGTTAAACATTTACCTCTCACTTCAACATTTTAAAGAAAGCTTAACTAAGGATATACGTTTTTTTTAATGTATTCGCCATTACATTTTCTTACCTTGAACTGTAAACGTCAAACGAATGACAACCGGGCTTCAACCTTTATGAAAAGCGCAACTTCTTGCGTCTTTAAAACGTATTTTAACTTATTTATGAATAACTAATATTTTGCCGCTCTTTTGCATAAATTGGTGAACACTAGGCGACATGCTCACGATTTTGTATCGCTCAAATCTCTACTGGGAATAAATACAGTGGTTGCTTACAATTTACATGGCAAACCCGGCGGTCGGTTCACGTTTTGGCTAAATGGTAAGCAAATTTCAGGACTGGTAAATTTCGTCCCGGAATCGCGTTTTCCATTCCCGGCACAAATCAGTTCCATTTACTGAAAAACGGCCGGAAAGCCAAAAACTGGTATCAATGATGGCCTTGAAGTGTAACGCGAATTGTCGGAACATTCAAATCGAAAAAACAGGACTACCTTTTCAGGTGTTCCTTTGCTCCCGGAATATTTCCATTTATTCCAGTGTATCGCGTTTCTGACCTTTTTTCAACTGATTTTTTTTGCTAGTTTTTAATTCCTTGTTATTATATTTACGTTCTTGCAATTTCCACTTATTCATTGAAAAAAATATATATATATTCCACATGTATTCCTTTCTCGAGTATTGTAGACTCTTAATTATTACCCTCTTTCCAGAAACTCAGTTTCACGTCATATTAGTTATCGCACCATATGCGAAGCCAAGAAACTGCCAAAATGACGATTTTTCTCCCGCCGATTTCTGTTAGGAGAGCACGTGGTTTCTCGTCATCCGTGACCTCGCTTTTGAGTCAAGTGATGGTTATTACACGGCAGCTTGCTGGTTACTGTGTTTATTTATGTGATCCTAAAGTCTCTTCTCTGGAATTTTAATCCAAGGTCCGTGAAGAGTTATCCTGGACCCCAGATTCCCAGCGGTCACTGGTGATGATCGGCGATGCCTCACCCCACCCTCCTTCGTACCACCTCAACACGCTAAAAATCGATTGGCGTCAAGAAGCTAAGAAGCTCTACAACGAGATGGGGGTGCGCATCTACTCGGTACAGTGCCTCAACTATGGTGGCTCGAACACTTTTTACCGTCAGCTCGCCGAACTCACATGTGGTTGGCATTTGAAACTAGATCAGTTCGCGTCTATTGTGGACTTCCTGACGGCTATATGTTACCGTGAACAGGGGGTTGAACAGCTTGAAGCTTTTGAAACCGAAGTGAAGTCGAGATCCAAGGGTTCTGGAATGAACCGTAATTTGCACGCGTTATTTGATACCCTGGCCGGCAGAACGAAAAGTACGTACAGCGGAGGAACCGACTATGGGGGACTGGAACCAGTGAATCCCTCTCGATTTCAGGTATTTGACGTACGTCATCTTGAGTGATCGTTTGGTAGCTAACGGCACTTAAGTTTTCTCCTTATCTTCACTTAAGCGCTGGTTAACAAAATTACATTTTCCTGGCCGCGCATACTAAGGTTCTTTTCCTCATGCGGACGTTTGCGCGAAGTTTTCTTCAAACTGTTAGTCACTGACGTCATAAATTAATAAAAAAGGAGTTGGCGTTGGGGGTAGCCTGTGTACAGACGTTCCCCCCTCCCTCAGAAAAAATCGGGAGAAGAGACGTCTGTGAATCGCCGACGATAATCGTGTTCCCGTTTCCCCGGAATGTTGGGGACAGCCTCTGATTGGTTGTAATGTTAATGCCATGACGCAAATCATTTCCGGTGTTGCGATTGGTGAATGAATCTCAGAATAGATTCCCCGGGAAAAAACTCAGCCTTTGTGGACAGCTCACCGCATTTATATTTGTTTACTTGGATTTCGACTCTCTGGAATAGGTATGTGAAATTAGGACCACCGATGTTTGCTGCACCGGTTGCGGGTGGACGTACAGAGATCACCGCTTAATCAGAAATCTTATATCTGGATTTTAGCGTGGACATTGCGTGAAGATGTTCGGCTGGTCCATGCACAGACGCCAGGGCTATTTTTGGCCTACATGTTGCCGGTCATGTCTCATAGAATTAGGCAAAAGTAAGGCTATTGTATTTTCTTGCTGAAGAGAAGTGAACGATCCTTTACATGAAACCTACTCAAAATCACCGAATGGATCAACTCCTGCATAACAAGCTTGACTGTAAACAGTGCTTCCGAGATCAAAATTCTGTCAAACCAAAAACCACAGGAAATCGATGTACAGTTACAGAGAGACTTTATCAGCTAAAAAAAAATTTAAAAAAAAAACTTGAAAAGCACGAAATACTCGTTTTAAATGGCATTTTAGCTAGATATTCTAGTTAGAGCTTAGCTTAGCAATAAATGTTGAGAACATCCGAGAGAATAACTGCGTGCGCGCTCTAAAAGAGTCCCCAGTCGTGTTGGTCTGTCAACACCTTTTCAACTGTCCGATGAAACAACAACAAAACATAATTTTTTCTGAGGGAGGGGGAACGTCTGTACACAGGCTACGTTGGGGGTGGGGGGTCACTTTTACAATTGTTTGGAATATGAGGCGTCTTAGGGGACCCCCTAATTCAGACAAAATCGGTCGTCGTTACTGGATTAGGCCCGAATTTCTATAACAAATTACTTACTTACTCACGGTCGACGCCTAGAAGACGACGGGATGAAAACTGACCCCACAAGGGTCTCATACAAGTTTTAAGATCCCCAACGTTTTCCAGACCCGTATCCCTTAGCGGTGTGGTTATGTGTGTAATAGTCGGAGTCTCACGTCTGTAGGCACCCATGTTTTCAGCTTTTTCGCTGGAGAGCTATCATCACGAGAAAAAAATCCCTAGAAAGTGCAATTCTTCTATTTTAAAAACACTAGCGCGCTAGTTTGTAGGCGATATTAAAATATGCTGTCCGTATGCACTCAAGGACTGTCATAGGAGTTTCACCGGAGTTGACCAGTTTTCGAGTTTTAGTGAAAATTGTCGGTTCAGGGTAGCACTATGTTACCGAATCTTATACATTTATTTGTTCATTTATTTTTTTCTCAGATCTTGGACGTCGACGAACGCTGCGACATTCGTACCTTCGTCGAGAAGAATGACCTTTCATTCAAAACAGGGCGGGGATTCTATGAGTTCACAAAGCCAGAGAAGATATCGGATAAAAAGGAGGTGGTTCTAGTTGATAAAGTCTCTGGTGATATGTTTACAGGTCCGGAGGCCTGCGAAATGATTGGTGCGGGAGGAACAGCCCGAATTAAACCTACTTCCTTTGATAAGTGGAGGGTATTTGTGCAAAGTACATCGTATAACCGAGTCTTAATGCCAGGTACTGGGTTTTTATATGAAGTTGATACCGATCGTTAATTTTGATACTAGCATAAAGTTATTGGGCAATCTCACTGCTATGTATCGAGCTAGGGTTTTCAAATCAAATGTTTCTGCACAACAAACATGCGTAACTGCACTATTCTCCACGATAGTTACCCAATCGATTTTATTTCACTCTCTAAGTGTGTGTTCCACGATTCCATTATGAATTTGCTCTCAAGTTCTGTTATAGTTAACATAACTCTGAAAGTCAATAATAACTTAACTACGACATTACTTCTATCCGGCCCGAGAGAATCTCAACAGAAAGTCAAGGAAAATATAAATTTATCTCAGTTCGTAAAAGAACTAGCTATAGTGGAAAACAAATGTTGTATTTTAAAGTCACTGGAGAAATATTGTATTGTATTTTAAAGTCACTTCATTTACTCGTAGTTTGTTGATCTTTTTTGATTAATTGTTTATTAGCTTTTTAATTTTCATAATTGTAGTTCCTGTCCAGCATTCAAATTCAGTTGTAACTTTTGTAACTTAATTTAACAATTAACAATTGTAACTGGTTATAAGTTTGTCTTTTAAATATGTAATTTTTAGTTGTTTCGTACCATTACTTAGCCTAATGAGTCCTGTAAATTAATTCTGAAAAACTTAATTGGGAGACTTAATCAAATATATTGTATTGTATTGGGAATTTATTCCACCGTTGTATAATTAACGCCATGTTTACACGGCATCGGACGAATTTTCGACCGCTTTAAAGGGACAGGTTCACGGTTAAGGGTATGCTCATTAATTAAATTCCTTTTTTCCGATTTATTATTTATTCTATCGGTTAATAATCCCATTCACATGTATCTCAGCGATCTCAGGGTGTATTTCAAAGTAGAAGCGTATTTAAGAGTAACCTGAAGTAGGATGGTCCAGGAGTACTACAATCGCTGTAAAAAATAGTAGATTATGCCAACACTACCAACGTTGAATTTATTGCTGACCCGAAGGTTTTATGCCATGGTTGATTAATGTACAACTATTTGCAAATATTTAAGTTGATCAAGTGCAAGTCACTGCCAGGGGAGTGTGCAGATTGGTTCTTTGACAACCTTTTTGACATGATCATATTGCTTGCGTAGACGATACAACATGCCCAGGCAGAAAAACAGCATTTTGATAAATGAGCATGCGCTGAACCGTGAACCTGTCCCTTTACAATTCGTGCCTTTATTAGGAGTTACGTTTACATGAAACCTCCATAACCGCCTTAATTTTTTGTGCGGCAAAGGCGCGTGGCTGCATGGATACACGGTAACAGTGTGAAATTAAAGGATCAAAGTTTTGGATCATTATACGTTTCTGGGAAACTGCCCGCCTACCCATCCCCTAAGCCAACATTAACACTTGCGTCTCACTTAAGGTGGATTTCCAATGAAGCGTAATTTTTTCGTGCGTACGCACGTACATTTTACGCGCGTAAATAAGATAGAGACAATGGAGAGTCTAGGGAGGGTCACGCGTAAACGTAAAAGTTGAACCTCGCTCAACTGTCACGTTTACGCCAGGCCTTTCATATATTGCCTCTATTTTATTGACGCGCGTAAATTTTACGGACACTTCGCTCTGTCCCTTCGGTGTCCGTATTATAGAGGTTCGACTGTACTACTGAACATCGTAATGCAGTGGAAATAAGACCCCCATTATTAACCCACCTTTCAAATAAGCTCCCTCCCTCTAATAAGCACCCCCCCTCCCCCCACCCTTTTCAGGGGATGGAAGTTTCGGATGCACGAAAATAGCTGGCAAGACTGCTTTACGCTTAATAAAAGCCCCACTTCTATTCAAGGGACACTTGCCTTGGTCCCGAGGGGTGTCCCCTGGGTAGAGGTTCCCCTCTTGCACAGCCCCGACTGGTCTCGTTTGTTGTAGTGTATAAAAAAGAAGAAAAACCGAAAAGGGATAAAAAGTAAATAAACAGCTGCAACCGCTACATTCAAAATACAGATTTATTTACATCCACTTCGGATAATATCGGTTATTTTACAAGGTTGGTTATAAATGCTTTTGACATACTACTAGGGTGGTCAGACTTAATTTTATAAACCTTACTTAACACACTGTTAAGTATGATTAACTCGTGTAAGATGTTCGACAAGTCTATTTACATATCGCTGAAAATTTCGGTAACAAAATAACAATAAAATACTTCTTGAATGGATATGAGCAGATTTACGACGGTTGTACAAGAAGACGAAATTCCAGAAAATTATTAACACACAGTAATGATTCATAAAGATCTCTGATAGGTAGCAAATTGGCAGAAAAAAAGAATCTTCTAAATATAGTCTATATCTCGATAGCACAAGATGAACAATGTCCAGAAAAAAAAATGATGCTGATAAAACATTATATAACAGGTACTGGTGGCAGTCTCTGACCCGAGGGGGCCTAGAATTAATGACTGTCTCCATTTCTTTAATCTGAGTACGTAATTTCCTGATCTCTCCCTTCTGCATGTCGATCATCTTTTCCATTTTCATGTTTTCAGATGATATTTTGACTTGGTTGTCTCCGTTTTTGGAATCTTCCCCGTCGGAGAACTGCTGCTGTTTGCGCATGACACCTAAGGCGGTTTCCAAGTCGTGGACTTGAGTGCGGGCGATCTTGAGTTCTCGTCTTAAGTCATTGATTTCCTTGATAAGGGTTACATTTTCCTACAGACGGCAAGGCAGTGTAAAGTAAATACCGGTTCGTACATGGGCGGTAGAGTGAGGAAACAGCCGACGTTCCGCGACACCACCGCTGGTTTTCCCGCGAAATTATGTCTGAGGAACGAGCGTATAAATTCCATACTGATGACGTATCACTACCCAGATCTGGCTAGTGCTTCTTATTTGTCGAACCGCGAGGGAAATTTGTTTAAACCAATCAGAGGCACTACCCAGATCCGGGTGGTGACACGTCACCAGTAAGGAATTTCTGTGCACCCCGCGAAATGTCGGCTGTTTTTAAAAGGCGGTAACCCAGCTATGGGCCAGATAAGATAGTGCTATTAAGAGCTATCTCTTGAACTTTTTATCCTTTCTATGTAAAGAGAACCTAAATAGAATGTTGGAATTGTACGGCTGTAAATTATACAGGAGAGATCAAGCGTAAGGGTGTCTAAAATTAGATGAGATTACCACAACAGCTTCTAAACTTCATCCTTCCATCATCCGTCCAAGCAGAATACAAACGCTGAGTTATATTTCATTTTGAGTATTACTTGCAAGTATTTGCGCAGGGATTATGTCACGAGGATATGACCGTTTTAGGTCGTTTCCATGCTACAGACATTACTTGGTGCCTTTACCTACGGGCAGAAAATGCTACTGAGGAGGGTCCCCAATAGGTTTTTCGGCATCCGGGATTTGGGATTTTGATGCAAAATGGCGGCAAGATTCGAAATTGCAAAGCACGCGCGTGAGGTAGGATGCCAAATATAACCCTAGAGATTACGGGATTGCACGAAATTTAGGGTCGAAAATTACGGGATTGAAGAACCCTATTGGGGACCATCCCCGTGGAGTTCTGCAGAAGATATCAAACAAATTTTATCAGAGAGCACTAACCATAATCATTACTTTGCTGAGTTTGCACGCATTGCATTAAAAGTTGTAAAAGTTGACCCAACTTTTTCAAGTTCTAATCCATGTCCATCCTTGCCATCGGTGGCAACAGACGACAGGAAACAGTTTCAGTGCATATATAAAGTCTTAAATAACAAAGCTAAACCATTATTTTTGGAATTCAAGTGATACGAAAAAAGTTTAAGCCGTTTTTAAAAAAAGAGCAAATAGGGTGACATAGCCCCTTTAATAAATCATTAATCTTCTCATTAAACCAAGGATTAAAAACCGTTCAAGAAAAGTTTGACTTGGTTGTCAAAAGCGCATGTCAAAGCCCTAACCTGCATGATTCGGACGTTATCAGCTCTGTGGATTTCAGAGTCCTTTGCAAGCTTCTTTCTCAGTGAAGCGACGCTTCTCTCTAGGTGCTCTCTCTGACGCGCATACTCTCTTTGGATATCCGCATCTACACCCGCAGAATCAAGCTGAAAAAATACGATAACAAAGTAAGACGCAGAAACCACGCTAAACACTTTAATACGACTCAATTCCTGTTGCTAGGGACAGGAGTAAAAAATCTGGGCAATGGCTGACCGGCGCGTAAGGACCCCAGAAACTATAGACCTTTTTACCTATACGGCGGCCATATTGAATTACTTAGATTTAGTATTATGGGATGCCCAGGGGGCATGAGCACGATCCGATATACTCGCTCGGTGTTTACGCGTGCTTTTCGGGCCAATTTTTCTTGAAGTTTTCCTAGGAAACGATTGTAATGGGAAAAAAAAAGGTTCGTTGTGCCGTGTTTGGATGTAATAATGATCGCCTTTTTCCCGAGAAATATACAGTGAAGTTCTCTTTTTTGCCCGAAAAGCGCGCGTAAATACTAAGCGCGTGCCCTCTGGGCATCCCATAATACTCCTAAAATCTAATAAATTCAATATGGCCTCCGTATCGGTAAAAAGGTCTCTTGCGGGACTCATTTCGGCTACAGGGCCTTCTCGTTTCTATAGTAATGAATTAAACAAGAAGTACATAGCTCCTTACTGTTTCATCCTGTACATATTTCTGATACAACGTCTTGACGTTCTCTTTAAGTTTCTTTGGTTCTTGAATGAAGCCGACGCAGTTGTGAAGATCCGTTTTAAATCGTTTAACGACGGCTTCAACATCACGAACCTGGAACAAAGCACCCGCACAACGGCCGTTATAATTTTTCTAAATAATCAAATTATCAAAGGAAAGTAAAAAAAACATTAGCCAACATCAATACCCTTTGTCTTTCCAGATGCATTTCTTTATCAGTTGCCTTTAGTTTTAATCTTAGTTCCGTGATGTTAAGCTCCAAACTCGTGTTCTGCTTGTGGAATCTTTCCAACTCGCTCTCCATCTAAACAAAAAAGTGGAAAACGTAAAGTTTAATCCGCCAAACTTTAAAACACAGGTGGCCCCTGTCTATAAATGCAATAAATCGGCTCGGCAACCAAACATAGCCGATTTTTATCTAACTCCTTTTACATTCTTGGCCTACAGAAACAATTTATCTCTCATACAAATCCTTATATTTTGAACGTTACGCAACAGTAGCGATGGTCATACAATCGAGCCTCCGGTAACGGCCACCTCTCTACAACGGCAACTTTTTTTTCTTCACGGCGGACAAAAGATCCATGCATTGACTCTTGTTTAAACCTCTCTACAATGGCCACTTTCTTCTGTCCCCAAGGTGCCCGTTGTAGAGGTTCAACTGTATTTTACACAGCACCGCTACCATTACGGTTTCACTTTTAATTTTATTGCTTCAATATGTTCCCGGCGATGAGCTTGACCCTAATGGAGGATCACTGGTTAAGATAAACATGCTCATCAACCGAAAGACAACGCCGATTGGCTCAATCATATTTGCCCACTAGTAACAGACCACGACGAAGCACTACTCGATGTAAAAATTTCATATATTATCCAAGTACTTAATTCTTTCGCAGTCAATGCAGATGTTAATTACTGCCCTACCTCTTGTATCTGTTCTTTCATGGCTTTGATGTCGTTTTCTCTGGGCTCAATTTGCTTTTTCAGTTCCTTTATTTTGTAATCCAACACAAACTTAAACTTCTCCAACTCTTGATTTTTCTTCTTTAAATCATAGATTCGCTTTTCCTAAAGACGAAAAAAAAGTTACCGCTTCCGTAAGAAAGGAGTTAGCCACTTTGTGACAACAGAACCACAGAAAAAGTCTTTCCACGTCTAAGATTGGCTTGTGAACGCCTTTCTTTAATCCTTTCCATGAAATCAGCTAATTCCCACTTAAAGGATGCCATCGTGTAATTATTCCATCAGAAAAGAATTGGAGATGGACGTTCAAAGGACAATAGCAATAACATTACACAAAGTGACTTACGGTACTGATATTGTTAGACGTTAAGCGTTCCTACAAACGTCTCCGTGGAAAGTGCTGCGCACCCACTGGTTTTAGGGAGCTTAATTAATAAACAACAACGACGGCGACTGCGACGGCGACGGCGACGGCGACGGCTACGAAAACGTCACTTAAAAAGTGAATGCTGGCTGCTTTAAACTTTATGACGCTTATTCCATCTCGTTTAATTCGTCAAATGTTGGCAAATTTTTTCGGAGCTGAATTCTAAAGGACTGTATCAAAGTTTAGGAAAACAAAAAGAAAGTTGTTGTCTTGTGCTCCCGTCCTCGACAAAACGTGAATTTAGCACTTTCACGTCGTAGTCGTGCAACCACGGCAACGAAATGTACAAAAAAGCGTGATACACGTGCAAAGTTCTTGTTTTGCCAATCTAAAACTATTTCTTTTTTGCCGTCCCCGACGTCGTTGCTTACGGTCCCTTCTATAAGCGGGGGAAAACACATGTGTTGACGCAAGGGTTGCTAGAGAAACTACTGAATTTATAATGCTGTGGACGGTTTAAAACCTGGAGTCATTACATAAGAAGGTGAATGCGATGGTAGGGGTGAGTGTAATCCTGAATAGGACTGTTGTTGATAGTGACTGACGTTTCAAAACCTGTGCGGTAGTCATCTTCAGAGTCAAAGTGAACTGTATCACGTCAGTTGATTCCGGGTTAGCCGGTATTACAGTTGTTTCGGATAACACGCGACCTGCCATGTCAAAAACGTCTTTGGATTTTGGGTTTTTCTGCGACGTCAGTCAAAATACTTGCGTTTTTCGTTGCCCTCAATCATCTTAGCAAACCTCTAAGGAAACAATTTAATTCAACGGGTTCAAAAGGTCGAGGTTCAAGATTTGTGATTGGTGAATTTTGATCACTCCCGTTTTGTGTGTTTCTGTTTCAAGGTTCGTTGCTTTTTAACTTCAGAGTTCGCTTGTTTTGACGTTTTAACACTTATGTCTTTTTGACCTTCTTAAAATGGCAAGTTTGGATTCCCAAATCCAGAAGAAACACGGTTATGAGAGAGTGGAAACGAATCAGTACGTTCCCGCCAACATTTGGTTTTGCAGCTCCTACTCGTTAATACCTGAAACGTTTTTGACAACGCAGGTCGCGTGTTATCTGAAACAGCTGTAAACTCAGGTCATTGGCCTGATTGGTCAATTAAGTCATGATTGGCCCAGCAACCTGATTCTTATTATGGAGTTTTAAGTGTCGACCACGCCCAAGGTCATTCTACTGGCAAATACAGTATAACTGTTTACTACATGTAACTGTTTACTGTAGCAATGCATGGGGATGTAATGTACCTTATCCTGAATGGTTTCGTCTCGTTCCTGGATTTCTTTCTTAAGCCCGTAAATGTCTTTCTCCAGAGACTTGATCACCCCTTGGAGTTTGTTGTTTTCATTCTGCTGTCGTTGAATCTCAGCTTTATAATCGTCGATCTCTTTTTGAAGGCTTGTAAACTAAAAACATGGAAAAATTAACAGTGTGTTACTTTGTGTTGTTGTTATTGATGTTTTTTTTATTTTTGTTAAAGAACAACTTGGGGTCTTTCTGCAGGTACCGTCATCACAAAAGAAACAATGGGACCAAACACTTGGGTTCTCCATGGGGCTTTATTGTTTCGTTGTACCTAATCTGTGCCACGAGACCTACAGAAGGAACCACGACATGCTGTGTGCAATATGTGCCAAAAACGAGGAAAGACAAATTACTTCAGCAGTTTCAACACTCAATAAACCGATCGTCAATGACGATGATGGTGATGATGATGTGATAATGGTAATGATGATGATAACAATGACAATTTCACAAAAAAAAAAACAGTAGTGTCTTGCATGGAATAGGTTGCTTTAATTAATATTCTCGCTCAACCAGACCAACCTTCTTTCTCATGATGCCTGTTTCACCCTTCAGTCTCAGGTTAGCCTCCTTCTCTTCCCTTAGACGCCTTTCGTATTTGTTTTTTATATCCAAGATTTCTCGATCAGCATCTTCTTCGATCTGTTTCTTGGTCTCTTCGTATTCTCGTAGTTGTTGGCGAGATTCATCTTGTGACTGTGGAGGAAGAAGCGAAAAACTTAACAAGGAATTTGCAGTCTGTTCCAACCGCACGTTAGGCTATCGCCTAAGCATGGTGGTCAAGTTTGCTTTTCTCACTGATGCTAAAGCTACGACTACACCACCCCACAAATAATTAGATTTATACATCAGTTTCATGCTCGAGGTAAATATGATACAAAAACAGGCAAACGAGGAGGAAATAAGAGCCAAAATGGTAAATACCGCATTTGCCCCCTAATTTACAACCTCCTGTAAACTAGGACGTAAATGGCATAATACAATGGGGTATTTACCTTGGCCTTGGTGTCCTGTTAGTTTGCACTTTCTTGCACCATATCTGTCCCGCGAGCACATTTGATGTAAATGTAACTTTTCTTGTAGTGAACGAAGTAACATCGTTGTAATTCGTTCGAATATTCAATGTTTTAACGGTTTTAGAATGTTTAGCACCGTGATTAATGACGTTAATTGCATCAAATCTGACCATGCTCTTTGCTAGCGTTTCCATAATTCGACCTCTCAAATATGAAATAAGGCTACTGTACTACCCTGAGAAAAAACCTACTTCTCGCGAAGCTACCACTGGTTTCCCCGCGAATTGACAGCGGAGGAACGCATGCAGAAATTCCATACTGATGACGCATCAATACCCAGAGTTTGGTAGTGCTTCTGATTGGTTGAAACAAACTTTCAACCTATCAACCAATTAGTACTACCTGCACTGGGTACTGCGTGGTGACACGTCATCAGGTATGGAATTTCTGCGTTCATTCCTCAGACGTCATTTCGGCGGGAAACCATTGGTAGCGTCGCGAAACGTCGGCTGTTTTTTTAGGGTAGCCTACTATTCTACATGCAAACAACATTCTGCAGTAGGATACTATATTTACCTGTTCCAGTTGATTGCTTTTCTCCGTCAATTTGTTCTCGTAGTATTCTGTCAACTCCTCCAAGGCCTGTTCTTTGGATTCTTCCATCTCTGTTAACTGCCGTTCATAATCCTCTTGCATTTTCTGACTTTTTGCTTGTAGCTCCTGATACTTTTCGTATTCGGACATTAACTTCTGGTTGTTAGCCGATTCCAGATCTTGGTGCTCCTTGCTGTGTTTTTCAAGGAGATCGGCGATTTCTTCCTCGTGTTTTGCTTCTTCCTTGTCTTTGTCTGTTTTAAGAACTTGGTTCTTGGTCTTAAGCGACTCCATCTCTTGTATAAACTTCTCAGTCAATTCCTTGATCTTTTCATTGTAGTTCATGTCCTTTAGGCGAAGCTGGTATTCGTTTTCCATTTTAAGTTCCTCTACGCGTGTTTTCAGCTCAGCCATCATGGAATTCTAATTTGAGGTAGCAAAAAACGAATAACGATTAGCCGATACCATGCAAACCACAGCTAGTTCACAAGGCAGACGACCTCGAACAGCAGCCAATAGACTGTAACAGATCAACGCGTTATCTATTTAACCACGAATCATTCAGTCAAAAGCCTTAATTCCCGCTTGTGCAATCAATTAGGAAGAGCCTTTTGTAATAAATCCACTTTGAAGAACAATCTAATGACCAAATTTCAAACAGAAAAGTGGGCGTAAAGACTGACTCACACAGTCCCCTATTTTTCCGTGAAATCGTCGGGATGGAGTTCCTACCCTAATGGGCAGCCATGGTGGTTTCAAATGTACCGAGTCTAGCCTGTAGATTACTCTCAAATCTACTACCTCTTACGAAACCAAGATGGCCGTTCGTAAAGGTAAAACTAGGGGACTGTGAAGAGTCTTACTGCAAGGTTAGTCCAATACTAAATAGTATGCACGAAAGGAGATGGGTTTTCAGCAAAAACTTTTGGAAAAAGCCTACTTCACAGCCTGAGAAAACAGCCGACATTTCGCGATGCCACCACTAGTTTCCCCGCAAAATGACGTCTGAGGAACGAGTGTACAACTTCCATACTGATGACGCGTCACTACCCAGATCTGAGTGGTTGAAGCAAATTTCCCACACGGCACGACCAATCAGAAGCACAACCCAGATCTGGGAGCTGACGCGTCAAAAGTACGGAATTTCTCAGACGTCATTTCGCGGGGAAACCAGTGGTGGCATCACAAAATGACGGTTGATTTCTCAGGCTACCTACGGGTCTGGATGGTCAGTTCTGACTTTTGGAAAGCGCCCTAAAAAAATACAGAGTTTCACATGACGTCACGGCGGCCATATAAGTATCATGTTCTAAAACAATGAAACGACGGCCATGTTGGGGTTTCCAAAAAGATGCTGTGGGAGTTAAACTCTTTTTTTTTTTTAAGAAAACGCTTTCTTTTGTTCCAATAATTTTGCATAGATGTGGGCTACGTAAGTGAAAACGGTCTTAAGTCTTTAACAAGGCCGCCCTAAAAAGCGGTGCAACTTAGCATTGTTTAACTCAACTACACTATGACTAGTTTTGTACTAACTTTTTCTTCCAAGTCAGATTTGGTGATAAGGATTTCCTCAGCGTAGCCCACTTCCTTGTCTCGTTTCATTCCCCTTCCTTCTTTGTCCACTGCTTTGAAAATGAACAAAGACGCGTCCTCGGACACTGTGAACAGGTACTGATCATCATAAGACATGCGCATCTGAAGAGTAATGAAAAAAAGTCACTACGATAATAATCTTGACCACGTTACGAGGATATTACTTTTTTAGGCCAATTTTGTGCTAAAGTCATCACTAAGTGCTTTTACCCATACACATAATACCCACGTAGAGTTTTACGGAAGATATCAAAAAAATACACCAGGGAACACTAACCATAACAACTGACACATCTACGTTTTCGGAACAATGTCCTGCATGCACTTTCCAGGTTACAATACAGGTAAGTCTGAGTAGCGCGGTACATATGTAGTGAACACAGAGATTACACCATTGTTTCAGGTGGTCGCCTTGAAGAGTTTAAGAACAATGGAATTTTAAACCGTCATCTTTAAAACTAAAAGTGGTCGCCATCGCTTACGAGAGGTGGTTGTTTACCGGAGGTTCCAACTGTAAGGCTTTGACTCGGTAAATAATGACGTTTTTGATAAGTAGCTCCTTACGGGAGGCGGTAAGAGGTTGTTGGACATGGAGATTCGACCGTACCAATAGCTCTAGTGAGCATTATGGCTCTTGACTGTACAAAGTTCCGTACCTTAGTAATTGCTCCAGAATGTACTTGGTGTTCCTGCCACTCCCCAGGAACGGTCAGCGGAAATTTCATGGCGCGCAGAGTCCCTGAGCTGGTGCCAGCAAAGAGCATTCGGCCGGAGCGTGACATAACACACTGTGTCAACACAATCTCACTAGCAGGAACTTCACGAAGAATCTGCGGGCAAAGAATGTTTCAGGTAATGTTCCATTTTAGATAATCCAGGTTCCCATGTACTAGTGAATTCAGATCATTTGAATGAAGCCTGCGTAGCTGGCGGGATTGTTGTGCCGGAGGTACTAGAAAGCTTTAGGTTCTGAGACGAGGAAGACTACGAGTACGAGATTTTCTCAATACTAAGTAGTGCACGCGCGCGAACCAACGTCATTTTGGCGGGAAAAAGTGATAAACTTCGTCATTCTACAACAAGTTTTAGCGAGAATGTCGTATTGTTAGGAACAAGTTAAATAACTATACTAACGTTTTGGGTGAAAAAAGGGTAAAATGAAGCTTTCTGGGGTGTGTTTTTTTTGGAACACGCGCAAAAACTTTAAGTTAAGTCTCGTTTTCGTACTCGTTCTCAAATCTAAAGCTCTCTACTTTCTTGGTGGAAGAGCCGCCAAAAGAAACGAGCGGCGAAAAAAAATGCAGCACTCGTCTCGTCCGTTCATTCCGCCAGCTACGCAGGCTAATTTTAATGCAGTAACTGACCAACAATTAAAAGGGAAAAAATTGGTCTAGCTCTCCTCCTTCACCTTTGCCCGAAGGGTCTCTGTAAATCTGAAACCAGTCCCTAATGTTCCAAAAATTGGAAAAAGAATAACGCGTGTTTCGAACAATCGAAACAAAACGCAGTAAATTTATTTCTACGTGCAGGTGATGTTAGCTTTGGATGAATCGTGAAGGCGAGGAAAACAATCATCACGCATTTCTCAGTTTAGAATCAAAGGGCCATTTGCACTCTTTCTCCAAATTTAGCCGGAGCCGTTTGTGTCACAGACACAAAACTGCCCTTTTCAGAAGTAAAACAAAAGCGCAATTTAAGACAAAATTCAAATCCACCCAAAAAACGAACGATAATGTCATTCTTCCCTTTGGAATACATTGATCACATATATTAGTAATTTGAAATATTGGGAATGAGCACAATTTCAATGTTTCATAACGAATATCTTACCTGCGAATCACAAATTTCCTTGAGCGTTCTGTCTGAACCCACCGCAAAAGTGGTTCTACTGTCGGGTGAGACAGCCACACTAGTGTAACTACAAGACTTAAGTACACTCTCGCCTTCGCGCTTATAGCTGGTCACGTTCCATTCATACACTGCACCATCCATACCACAAGAAATGATCTTACTGTCATCTTGACTCCAGATTACTTGGCGAACCTAAGTAAAGAAAAGCAGGTTTTAAACAAATCATTACCTTAAAGAAAAGAAAATAAAGGTAAAGAATTAAATTGCGTTCGACGAAAGGAAAACAGGTCTAATTCCGGGAAGGTTTTCTGCGAATTCTAAATGAGAAATAAAACAGACAAAATACAAATTGTGGACAATAAAATTGCTGGAAGTATGTAAGTGGTGCTCATAGAAGAAATCATTCATTTTGTCAAACCAATCCTCGAGTTAGAGCCTTCAATTCATTGACTGGAACTTGGGAATATCGAAAGGTGGCCCATCTTTTGTGAAGATTCCACCCCATACCCCTCACTAAGCGCCCTTGATGCGAACTACACAGAATTTTAACTGTTAAATAGGATAGCTTTCTTTCAAAAATTTTGCGTTTACATATTTTACCTTGCCGTTGTGGCCTTTCAAGTTGCCAACATTCTCAAAAGTTGTTGAGGAATACAGTTGGATCACATTACCATGAACAGCAGCAAAGAGATGTCCTCCATTACTGAATGAACACTAAAAGACGAAATTTATCATCATAAATAACTGCCGCCTGATCAGCTCAGTTGGAAGAGCGCCGGTCTGCTGAGCGGGAGGTCACGGATTCGAACCCCGGCCGGACCAACACTCAGGGTCTTTAAATAACTGAGAAGAAAGCGCTGCCGTTGTAATGACATCTGCAAACGGTTAGACTTTCTAATCTTCTCGGATAAGGACAAAAAACCGTAGGTTCCGTCTCACAGCACTTACACTTATCTGGTTCTTGTGGAACGTAAAAGAACCCACACCACTGTTCGAAAAGAGTAGGGGACGTAGACCGCGGTGTTGTGGTCAGCCTTCACACATCACATCATTCACATCACGGGTTGGGTGGGTACAGTAAGCTCATAAATGGACTGAGAGCGGCTGCCAGTGGCGCCTTTGTATGCAGACGTCCGAGCTTCCTGTTCACATGTCAAAATGTATTGTAAGAGGGCACGTCTGTTGTCGTCTCATCCACGACTGTTCACTCTTCATTCATTTCATTAAAAAATCAATACAGCGATGTTATTCTTGTTTTGTACACGCGAACACCTTACCCTATACTGATTTTTTTTTCGCAAATTTCGCTTGGAAATAATCATGAAAATTAAAATACGCGCAACTTTTGCCACATTATACAAGAAAAGTAGAACTTGTCACGGTTTTCTACACCATCTTGAAAAGCAGGCAAACGTGTGAGAAATTACAGTGTTTGTACGAGAATCTAATGTCAAATAATTTCCGTAAAACGTGACAAGGTATTTAATGAAAGCACTAAGGAAGCTTTATCGATTTGACATTCTGGCCCCAGTTGTTCAAAAAACTGATGGATGACGCTCTGATTTGGTCCTCATTCTTAATCAGACTTTTTTGTGTGTGTGTGGGGGGGGGGGGGGTTAAACTTACTTCAGGAAGTATTTAAACAAGGTTTTTGGAAGATTTTTGTCATGCGGTATTTAGTTGATTTTATGTTTGTACCTCGGCCCGAAGTTTCACTCGTGCCTAGAGTCGCATTATGATCAGGTTTGTGGTTTGAGCGTCATGAGTTTTATTATTGAACTGAATTTGATTGTCAGCTCTTGAAGCTCTTTAAACTGACCTTTGATGTTATGTTATATTACCTACATCAGAGTGTCAAGACCAACTACAAAGATCTGTTGTCAAATTTCCATAGGTCAAGTTATTGTTGGCATGTTCAACCGTGTAGCTTTAATTTGGTGATCAACAGGAAGTGTACTGAGAACTCTTGTAAACAGCAAGCCCAAACATGTTGATCCTGCGTAGCGAGCGCCGTTTTTTTTTTAAGGCGAAGGGAGAAATTTTGAGGCCTGATGAGCACGAGCGCACGCAAGAGGAAAGAAAAGGAGAGAAGCTTCGCCTGTTTCCCTCGCGCACACTATAAGAACTAACCTAAAAAACTAACCAGTTCCTGCCACGCAGAGAGTAAAACAATGTTTACAGTTGAGCTCTTTAGGCCGCCAATACTTAGCTAGTTGGTGAGATGTAGTTAGAGATGCAGTCAGTTGCTATAGCTGCTGTTAGTTGCAGACAGAAATATAGTATTCCAAGATGTGAATCTAGATTCACGGTACCTCTTCGCTTAAAAACAAAAGCTTCTACATTTAAGCCTCTCTTTTTCCCTTCCTTCCGATCCCCACCCATTTCCATGATCAGATTAACCTTGAACTGCAAATCTAACCATAATAAGACCCTAGGCACGACTGAAAATTCAATTACAAAACAAAACATCAAATAACTACACTGCATGACACAAAATCTTCAAAACAGCCTATAAAATACTTCACAACACTCACAAAGAGAGCATTTTCTTGTTATCTAACGAAGAGCCCTTCGAAACGACACAGTAAGTGCAATTTTTCTTGTTATCTAACGAAGAGAAAATTACAAACCTTTCGGGAAACGACACGTAACTTCCGTGATATTTCGAAATTGTCTCAAATTTAACTCGCCTAACGGCTCTGAAATTATTGTCTCGTTAATTCTTGCAAATTCCCTTCTTGTGAAACGAGGCCCTTCAATTAAGGTTTGGGAAATTAAAACGAGGGCAAAGCAGTCAAATTTAGCCTTTTTCAGGGAATCAAGAAAATTATAATTTTACTCATGAAATACAGTTCCCAATTTTTTGTGAAAGATGGCTTTCCAGGAAATTTATTAAGATTAAGGGAAGTACAATTAAAAACTCTCCGAAAGTCCGTTTTGGTTTGTTTATCGCAACTCCTTCTCAAAAAAGTCAATTTGCTGACAAATCTATACCTTTGCGGCCACCTTTCAAGAACTCACCTCCCTGCACCCACGGATGGTAAATTCTTTGAAAGACCTGATGTCATCAATTAACAGATTCATAAGTCGCAGTTTATCGCTGAACCCAACCAAGATGTAAAGACCGGAAGGATGAAGAGCAATGCTGTAGCATTCTTCTTGAAACTCTTTGTACTGTTCTAAAGAGCTGTAAGGAAATAAAAAAGCTTTGTCAGATATTAGAAGCACAAAAGAGGACTTTTGGTAGCCAGCAGGATCGTTAGAGCGGTTAAAGTTTTGGTAGAGGAGCTGGTGCTAAATGGGAATGCTATCACACGCGCAAAAACGATTCTGCCAGCTACTCAGACAGACTAAACTATTGGAGGTTCTAGTCTGTTATTCCTCATCACATTTCCAACCAACTGCCTTATC